CTGTAGGGAAATATTAATATTAGGTATTTTGTTTCTTGCTGTATCTAAATCTATTTCTATGTCTGATTTGGTTTGAAGACTAACTACTCCTGTGTTGTTGCTGAAAAAAGATGGTATTTGTTTAAGAGTTTTGAACTGATGTTATTTGCAGACCACACCAGTACATAAAGAGACATTCCTGTCTTGACGAGATCAATAATTTATTGATTTGGGATCTCAGTCCAAATTAATATTATCTAGAGCCTTTGAACAACTACGTAATCAATGCGGATATTTTACCCAGTGCCTTGCAAATAAAGCATACATGTCTTTAAGTATGTGCATGAATTGGGGAGCACGAATTAAATTACGTGATTTATGTTTTCAAATTTCAACATCATTGCAGAGAAGACTGCCTAGCCTGTTTAGAGCAAAGCAATTAATATGATGATGATGTTGTTGGATTCCTGAAAACCAAAAACAGTGAGGAATAGTTAGAACTTAGGACATCACATTTACTTCAATTTATACTGAGATCAATTTATACTGCAATCCTTGGATTTTGTGTATGGGAAAATATTTATTGAGAAAGATTAACCTTTTAAATGGATCTCAATACTTCAGGAATTAGCCATTAGCTTCTAACCGAAAGATAAGTGGTTCACCCGAAAAAAAAATTTGTTAACAGTTGTTTTCATGCTCTTGAACCGCTGTCTTGCTGTAGCCTCTACAAGATTGTCACTGTTACAATGAAGTTGTACTTTATTTTTATTTCTTAGTTCTTACTAAATATTATATCCTCTGACTCGTGATTTTCTTTCCTTAGGTTTTAAAAGATCATTGCATGGAGTTATTATCCATGAAAGCTCCAACTGATGTGTCTACAATTTTGGAGCCAGAAAAAGAAGTGCTATCATTCAAAACTAAATCTTTCTGGGATGTGGCAGTGCCCTCCTATTCAGAAATTCACGTCATGGAAGGCAAGAGCAAACTTGGTGGCGGAGGTGAGAGTTCAAGTAGTAAAACCGTGAAACCAGGTCACATTAATGTTGTCGCTGCTGGTCTCATCCTTCTGTTGTCTGTGTTAGTTGGTTTTGTGCTATTCGTCCTGAAGGGTTAAGTACCAGGATTCTTCTCTCTACTGACACACATTCACGTAGTTTACGAAACTTCATGCATAGCTGACAAAACTTTATAAACTTTATACTTCTAAATTATACAACGGCATATATGGGGGGAAAATCAGCCTGAGTCCAATTGCTTTTTGATACTCTTCATCCGGAATCAACTCAAATAATAGTGTTTGTGTTCAAAAGAGTGTCACATAGAGATGGGGTTTCCCTGGCATTACATTATTCAACTTAACAAATAATTGTAGAAGAAAAAAATCTAGCACATGGGGATTCCTCGATCTATATCAAGTTGTTAGTGAGGAAGCATAAATATGATGCAGAATTCAATATAACAGAGACATAGGAATATGATAAATTTTTAAAAATTATAGGTTTAATTGTATTGTTACTCATCTTTTATGATTTTGAGATTTTATTGCCTTGTAAATTTATATTGATCGCGTATAATTGTATGTCATGTGTTAGGCATTAATGTGAGTTAATGTAACAAATTGTAACGTGTCAAGTCAATAATCAGTCCTTTACGTCAATAGTATACTAATGATATAATATACAAAAAGATAAATTTTTAAAGTTAGGTGATAATTTGTAAAATCATTGGATCAAGTTCAATTGAGCTAAAATTATTGAAAATACAATTTGTCTAATATAATGACGATTTTTAGGGTGGTCTCCACTCACTGGAATGGTCTATTGTGGAACGTATACAAAAGGGTTCAAAACTTTTTTTTTTTTTTTTCCTTTTACACGCAAGTAAAATAGCAATTGACGCAAGTCTACCAGATAAATTTTTCAAAATTTATAACATGAAGTAGAGTAGCAAATGGTACATCGAAGAATCACTACTTTTAACCATCGGATATAATTATAAAATATGTGACTTTTTTATTATTATTATTGTCAAATCATCTTCTCTGCATACTTCACTACTCTTCTGCAATGCTACATCTGTATTACTGTCTTAAATTTTTTATTAGTTGGTTTAGATATTGACACTTTGTTGGAGGCACGCAGCAAATTACTTCACCTTGGAAGCATTCTAATTTTTTTTAAAAAGCAAATGTATAAAATTATAAATAATAAAATACAATTAAAACTATTGGAAGCATCCACTTGGTGTTCGATATAAATACATCTGATACGACAGAACCGTTATTTTAAAGTATACTTGCATTCACTTATACATCTATATATGATTAGACTTGAAATAATGAAATGTTACTGGGAATTTTAGTTTTTAATAATCATTTATAAGATCTAAGCAAATTTAACATTGATTATAAATTGGATTGCTCATATTATATATATATATATATATATATATATAT